CCCTGGTTAGTACTTGGTTTGAACTCTTTTAGAAATTTAATCCCGATCAAAGAGGTCAATTCCCTGAGCTGAGCAGTTTAATTTTTCTCCGAGAGTGAAATTTGTGCTTGGCGCCATTATGTGATGTGCAAAGAGTAGAGGAGACGAGAGAGCAACAGAGTATAATCATGGAGTCCGAGCGAGCTTCATGCACGCTCCACCAGCTACTCCCGCTCTGTGATCGCCTGCTCATTCGTAGGGGGTCTTTGCCTGCAAAAACGCTCAATCGTTTTGTAGGCTTACTATTTATCTTTAAACTGGAGTAAGCGATGAACTTTCACCATATTATTTTGAACGGCACATCCAAATCAATTGACTCATTCGAATGGATGTGAATGGATCTGCTACAGTGGTCAAAGAATCGTTTTTGGATAGTTTATTTTTGAAATTTTGATACTTGCAATTGAGCCTAGAGGCGGACGGCCTTCGGCCCCATGGGCCCATTTAGGAGTTGTTTGCTAGCAGGACGCCGATCCCATGAGCCTGTAGGGACTACAAAAGTAATCTCAGGATTACGGAGGAGAAATAGTCTCTCATCATTAGAAGAAGAAATTTCTAGTTTCTGGAGCAGATTCTCTGATTTTTCCTTTAATTTTTCATCCCTGATGAATCCCGGTTTTTCTCGGTCCAGACACCATGAATGAATTCCATGTATGAAGATGGGAAGCAATTTGCAATGTGAGGAAAATTACAACTTTACACAACATTATTGCAATGAATATCAAAAGTAGGAGCCCCTTCAATTAGCGAATACGCAACATACACGGCATTCAGGTAAAGAAGCAGTAATACTGCTATGTAATTCGACGGTGAAACCGTGTAACATGGTTTGCAACGTTGCAGAGCTCCTGTCAAAATTTATTTTTTAAAGGGCAAACTACTCAGTGCCACACCTGTAGACTTCCATATTTTTTCATCTGGTGCTGTTTGAAAAAAATTCTGTAAGAATTTCAAGGAATGATGTTGATATTTTGTTGTCCTTTAAAAAATAAAATAACACGGTGGTCTTGAAGGAAAAAAAAAAAACCACGAAAAAAACGTACCCAGTAACGGTTTGCAGGGGATGAATCTATGTTACGTGCTGCCTTAAAACATAGAGTACATAGAGTCGTAATGTAATTGGGAGAGCTGGCGCCACTTTTAAGCATTTTCCATGTCCCGAATTCCGAGACTCCTGTGTGACGCCGGGTCACTTTTTCGATACATAATCGATTGTTTGCGATACACGGGTACCCGGCCATCCGATGACAACAACAACAACAACGAAGGAGATAGGAATCACCATGTATTCCACACCGCCATTTTGGATCGAAAATGTATCGAAAAAGTGACCCGAACTCGGCGCACACCGGGCTCGGAACTCGTCGAGCAGAACATGGCGCCAGCTCTCCCATTTACATTACGACTCTATGTATTCTATGCCTTAAAATCGCGCAAAATCAAAATCTTGACTAATCCTATTTTTGAAGTATCGGAATTTGAAATGGACCGCATTAAACAGAAAGGAACCAAGCCACATAAGCTATTGCCAAATTTGACAGGGGAATTACATTTTTTACGAGAGAACGTCTATGCAGATTCCTTTGAAAATGTTAAGGAATTTACTTTGTATTATGAAGAAAATTCACTGAAATTTGCACAAAAATCCGCACAACCGTTGGCATGTAAAAAATTAAATTGCCCGATTAAATTTGGCAATAGCTGATATGGCTTGGTTCCTTTCTGTTTCACACCGCAATCACACGCTGAATGTGGAAGTCATCGGCCCGATTCCTGACTTTTGCGCGTGACGCGCAAAATTCAGCAACGATTCTCAGCAACCATCGGACCAATTTTGGATTTGTCTGAAGTATTCGAGTAGATTTGATACACATCTGGATGAAAATAACTCGAACTTGCTAAATTTTAGCCGTTGGGCGATGACTGTTGACTTCCACATTCAGCTGCTAAATTCAGCGTCTGATTGCGGCATAACGCGGTGCAAATGCTCTGAGTAAGTGCAAGTTTTCCACTGATTTTGATCCGGTTTATATTTATTTGTCTATTGAATCGGTGTCGATCGACTAGATTCACGTTTTTATTTTTCGTTCGATTCATGTCGATCGAATACATACCCTATCGTTGCAGGCCGACCCATCATACTCTTTTTTAACTGAACAATTCGCCCTCTGCTGCGCCTGCAGAAATTGTTGTTACGAATATGTGGTGCGTGCTGATTTCAGCTGATTAAATACTCGACTCTCTGAAGGCGTTTTATGTGCACAAGTAGCGCAATCTGTTGGAGAGCGAATGAAACAGAGGTTGAGCGATTCATTCAAAATCACTTCTGATGTTCTCCAACAGGGTGCTCTACTTTCGCACATAAAACGCCTTCAGAGAGTCAAGTATGTAATTAGCCGAGATTAGCACGCACAACATATTCGTAGCAACAATTGCTGCGAACACAGTTGAAGGCGAATTTAAAACAACCTATAACACACGTTGGAAATCATTTTAGTTCTGTAATTAAAATTGTTACCAATAGTAAGTTGTATTTTGTGGTCTTATAATGGGGAATTCTCGAAAAACTTTCCATGGTGAACTAACTTTATATGCAAATTAAAATATACCGCGCCACAAATTTTCAGTCTTAGCGGGAAGGTCTGGAAGCCAAGAAAAACAAAAATTGGACAAAAATGTACCCACAAACGGTTTTTGGTACGGCACTTTGTGATATTCACGATCCCTATTCTATTTTTCGTATTTTTTCCATCTTTTTACAAACTTGATCATTTTCAGTCAAAGCACAATCTAAGTTACAATATTTGATCTCTTGCAACTTCAGTCATTAATTTTAATAGCGCTTTATCGCCCTTATCAAAAGCCTCGCTTCTCGAGCATCTTATTTTTCGTTTTAGAGACACAGTTCGCCAGCTAAGTACAGAGCTATAGAGTCAACTTGGGCAATCCCGGATGCCTCGGCCGGTGGGAACTCTCAGCTCTTGTCAGGATTCGTTCTAATTAATTCTCCGCAGCAACGCTGGAAGATCACTTTGATAAAACTATTCTCCCGAAAGTCATGCAGGTAAATTAAGGAGCTAATTTTCAAGTACTCTGTCTGTGACTTTAAACAAAGTGTTTCTCTTCTCAGTAGTTCATGAAGTAAAACGAACAAAACAGAAATGTGACAGAATGTTGCAATGATTCTGTTGTTCTAGTCAAAAGATTGAGTTTCCAATTCAATCTTTACCAATAATTATCATGTCCACAATAGATAAGTCCTAAGGAAGGAAAGTCTGAACATGGTAAAAAGTCAACGAAGAAAAAAGGAATTTGTAATCAGCTGTAGACGTGTGCTGAGAGATACCTGAGAGTCAATCTGACTGTTTTAGCATAAAGGGTGTTAAGGGATCACGGTACCTTGATACCGAGCCCTGCAGCTCTTTCTCCCGATCGGAAGTGAATTTTTCTCTTAGAAATGCACTTGGAATGAAAAATGATACCGATATGTACCAGTACGTAGCGCATACATATGTTTTTTTATGTATTTCTTTTGATTTGGAAGATAAGGCCTGAGAGACATCCAGGAGACAGAAAGTCCAAGGGCCAGAGAAAACCTGGAAAGTCAAAAAGAAGGGGAAAATAATTTTGCTTAACACCTTGGCATTTATTGAATGCAGCGCTGTCATGAACTCTTTAATTCTAGTATAAAAGAGTATATACATTTAAAAGGACTTACTTCATGGTCATTTCAATTCAGGTCAAAAGGTCACTAAACATGGTTAATAAACGTTGCTTGTTTTCCTTACAAAATTTTGCGTGAACAGCGATTCTCACAAGTTCAAAAAGCAACGACTCAAAGAGATTATAACGATTATTTTCAATATAGATCAAATGGAAGTTACGTTATGCAAATAACGTCATTTGCATATTCGCTATGCTTAACTAATGTTAATTGTAAACACTCATATCAAGTTCGGGGGTTGATTTCCAGACTTCTCATCGTGTGATTTGTTTTCCTTGTGCACACTATGTTGCATAGTGCTTTAATTCATACCCTGTCTAGAGGCAGGATTGCAATTTTTCATGAAAAATAAAATAACAAAATTTTACGTGAAATATTTCATACAATTTTAGATTAATATGAGAGATTTTTAAAAATATTTTTCGAAATTAGAATGCAAAACTAAATGAAAGGCAAATGCTTTTTGCTTTTTTGTATTTTTTTGTGCGTGTTGCATGCTCAGCCCCTAAAATTATACTTCATATTTTTCATACGTGAAATATTTCATAGAAATTTCCAATCATTCATATTTTTCATTTCACTTGTGCAACCCTGTCCAGAGGTCCATCTGAACTTTACTAATAGTAACCTACTGTTGTCAAGAGCGCGGTTCTCTAGAGCTTTACCTCCACCATTTCACTTTATGGATAGAAAAGAGGGAAACTGAAAATTGAATGCGTTTTTCTATATGGTCAATTTTTTGTCTTTATTTTTTAGGTCAAGAACTTTGGCCGAAGTGGGCGAACGAAGTACACTCATCTTGTTGATCAAGATACCACATCATTTGAGTCTCCGTGGATGGCAGACACGACTCAAAATGTCAAATTCCTCAACAACCAAGCTGCAGGAATGAAACAAGTCTTCGAGAAGCCTAGTCTGAAAAAGAGGAAAATGCCGAGCAATTAGTGTTTTCAACTATTAAGTCTTGTACAAAAGTGTAAATAATTACACTGTTATAAATAATAAATAATTACTGTTTTGTAGGCTTACTATTTATCTTTAAACTGGTGTAAGCGATGATCTTTCACCATATTATTTTGAACGGCACATCCAAATCAATTGACTCATTCGAATGGATGTGAATGGATCTGCTACACTGGTCAAGGAATCGTTTTTGGATAGTTTATTTTTGAAATTTTGATACTTGAAATTGAGCCTAGAGGCGGACGGCCTTCGGCCCCATGGGCCCATTTAGGAGTTGTTTGCTAGCAGGACGCCGATCCCATGAGCCTGTAGGGACTACAAAAGTAATCTCAGGATTACGGAGGAGAAATAGTCTCTCATCATTAGAAGAAGAAATTTCTAGTTTCTGGAGCAGATTCTCTGATTTTTCCTATAATTTTTCATCCCTGATGAATCCCGGTTTTTCTCGGTCCAGACACCATGAATGAATTCCATGTATGAAGATGGGAAGCAATTTGCAATGTGAGGAAAATTACAACTTTACACAACATTATTGCAATGAATATCAAAAGTAGGAGCCCCTTCAATTAGTGAATACGCAACATACACAACATTCAGATAAAGAAGCAGTAATATTGCTATGTAATTCGTCGGTGAAACCGCGCAACATGGTTTGCGACGTTGCAGAGCTCCTGTCAAAATTTATTTTTTAAAGCGCAAACTACTCAGTATCACACAGACCTGTGAAAGGCCTAGATACACACGGCGATTAATCGCCGCGATCGAAAGACGAAAGCCAATGGAGAGCCTTGATTTTGAACCATTAACGTCGATATATCGAAATCAAGGCTCGCCATTGGCTTTCGTCTTTCAATCGTCGTGTGTGTATGTAGGCCTTAAGACTTCCATATTTTTTCCCCTGGTGCTGTTTGAAAAAAGTTCTGTAAAAATTTCAAGGAATGATGTTGATATTTTGTTGTCCTTTAAAAAATAAAATTACACGGTGGTCTTGAAGCAAAAAAAAAAAAAAAAAAAAAAAAAAAACCNAAAAAAAAAAAAAAAAAAAAAAAAACCTGAAAAAAACGTACTCAATAACGGTTATGCAGGGAACGAATCTATGGTACCGCGCAAAATAAAAATCTTGACTAATCCTATTTTTGAAGTATCGGAATTTGAAATGGACCGCGTTAAACAGAAAGGAACCAAGCCACATCAGCTATTGCCAAATTGAACAGGGAAATTACAATTTTTTACGAGAGAACGTCTATGCAGATTCCTTTGAAAATTTTGAGGAATTTGCTTTGCATTATGAAGAAAATTCACTGAAATTCGCACAAAAATCCGCACAACCGTTTTCATGTAAAAAATTAAATTGACCGATTACATTTGGCAATAGCTGATGTGGCTTGGTTCCTTTCTGTTTAACGCGGTCCAAACGCCCTTAGTAAGTGCAAGTTTTCCACTGATTTTGATCCGGTTTTTATTTATTTGTCCATTGAATCGGTGTCGATCGACTAGATTCACGTTTTTATTTTTCGTTCGATTCATGTCGATCGAATACATACCCTATCGTTGCAGGCCGACCTATCATACTCTTTTTTAACTGAACAATTCGCCCTCTGCTGCGCCTGCAGAAATTGTTGTTACGAATATGTGGTGCGTGCTGATTTCAGCTGATTAAATACTCGACTCTCTGAAGGCGTTTTATGTGCACAAGTAGTGCAATCTGTTGGAGAGCGAATGAAACAGGGGTTGAGCGATTCATTCAAAATCACTTCTGATGTTCTCCAACAGGGTGCTCTACTTTCGCACATAAAACGCCTTCAGAGAGTCAAGTATGTAATTAACGGAGATCAGCACGCACAACATATTTGTAGCAACAATTGCTGCGGACACAGTTGAAGGCGAATTTAAAACAACCTATAACACACGTTGGAAATCATTTTAGTTCTGTAATTAAAATTGTTACCAATAGAAAGTTGTATTTTGTGGTCTTTTAAAGGGGAATTCTTGAAAAACTTTTCTTGACGAACTAACTTTATGTGCAAATTAAAATATACCGCGCCACAAATTTTCAGTCTTAGCGGGGAGGTCTGGAGGCGAAGAAAAACAAAAATTGGACAAACATGTAGGTACCCACAAACGGTTTGCAGTATGGCACTTGTAGCGTTCCCAGTGCTTCAAAAATTTGCTGCGGAGAAACTCAAAACTTTGCTCTGACCAATATCCCAAACTGTTATTTCCATCTACATGAATTTCAATCCTTGGTCCACGTGTCTTATTATGACATGGATTTTTAATGATTTAGAGGGAGTGTTGGTAATATGTATTTCACGATGCTTTACTTAGTTCTTCGAGTCTTTAACGTGTTCATGCAATTTAGGGCCTAAGAGCGCAACTAACAGCTAAGATTGAAAAGATCACCTGAATTGCATGGGAACCTTCAGCACACTTACCCAGTAGAGATCCAGAGAGCATGTGTTACCTGAACCTGGTTTTCAGCTACCACCTTGGATTTGGAACATTCTTTGCATGAAATGTCGGTCTTTGACTTAAAATTTGGATTCTTGAAAAACATAGCAAAGGATACCTCAATTGGCGTTGTTTCATGCTAATACTTTGCTCACCCCTGCTGCGGCAGTTTTGGCTGCCTTCTTGAATTGGGGCTGGGGGATTCTTCGCATGAAAAAAGTTAGTTTTTTGCTTAAAATTTGGATTCTGCGACCAAAAAAACACATGAAATTGATACCTCACTTGGCGTTGTTTCATGGTAATGATTTTTTGGTTTCAGGACATTTCATCAGCCATTTTTTGTCCGCGCACCTGTTTTGTCCAGTAGTTTACGTCCACGCGTAAAAAAAGCAACAGTGACTTGGTCCAAGCGTTACCTATATTTTAGTCCGAATGTAAAATTATATATCGTGATGATAAAATTAAGAGAGAAAGACGTGTTGTTTTGGTGAATCATTTTTTGAATGAAATGTTACTTTCTTCTTTTGATTCATCTTTACAAATTGTCATAGGTGAATATTTGGTTTTATTCCTATCCTTAAAATTTTCGATGTACAATATACCGTATGTTTACCTTTTTTTCTTCTTTTTCCCCCCCTTTTTTTCTACTACTTCAAATAGCCAAGAAGGGCTAATCCTGCGTTTTTAGTCCCGTCCCCCCTCCGTCCCTGCTGGATAACCAGAGTAAATTCTTAAATATAAGTCCTAAGTCCTATAAGTCCTTTATGAAAATATTACTTTATCCAAAAAACATTTACATTTTTAATTCGTGGGCAAATATTTATAAAACCTTTTCGAAGCGATGGCATCAATATGAATCTTAATGAGCCATAGTTGTGTTGAAAGAAACTATTCAAAAATGAATAAAAGAGGGAAAAACAAAGAAGCGCGCTATCTTTGGTTTTAATCCATTCGCACATCGATCATTTAGAGTCAAATACGTCCAATTTTGAGCGTTTGGTTGCGCGTACACCACGCTGCAGCACATTAAAACCACAATATATAAAAGAAAAAACTAATATGCTTTGGAAATCATTAAAGTTGACACGGAGCCACCTTAATATTTATAAAACACACATTATATTTTCCTATAATGCGTATTTTTTTTCATCAATTATAATGAGAATAATCCATACAGAGTGTGTAAACATTTCAAAATCATGAGTTGAAATGACTCCGCGATTTTAAATATTAGAGCGTAACACAGAGCGGAGCGGTTCGATGTGCTGCCAGTGGAAACGCGCACTCGCGCCTACAAACCTAAGGGGATACTTCGCGCATTGCTCAATGCTGGAAGTATCCACTTGGGTTTGTAGGCGCTGACCGCTCGCCCGCCGCACCGCGGCGTGCCACGGCGCCTCAAGCAACTATTTCACGCCAGAGGTATTGCACAGTATCATACGAAATTGAAGGCGCTCCAACATATGAAGAATGGCAGGCATCTTTAAAAAGTACGGAGCTTTCTTCGCAAAATAAATCAAGATACTACGGCACAAAAAGAGAGCGAAAGTCCAAAAACTTACTTAGTCCTAGTATCCATATTTAATAACGTTTAGCCTAATTTTTTAATTTCATTAGAGAAAAAAAGGACTTGATTTAGGCAGACGTAATAAAATCGCTGAATGAAAGCGGGTTTCTGCTTGATGTAAGTGATTTTTCTTTTTATTCACGCATCTTTTCTTTTTTACACACGCATTATTTTCTTTATTGATTCATAAGGAAATCTTGTCGGCGGTAAATTTGAGCATATTTCTGCTTGAATCAAATCACTTTTTCCTCTAATGAAGTTCAAAAATCATGCTAAACGTTATTGAATACGGATACTAGGACTGAGTAAGTTTTTCGACAACGACTCTCTTATCGTAGTCTTTTGTGGCCTGCGTTTCTTGGACATGAGATAGTTTTCGACGTTTTTTCACAAAAAACTGTTTTGCATAAAATGTCGATGAAAAAACACGCTTTCTAAGAGTTTAATCCATACTTCGTTTGAAGGGTCATTTCTTCTTCATTCCCCCCCTCCCCCTTTTTAATTTTTACGTATCAATATCGTGAGTGAATAGGTAGTTAATTAGAGTGCCTGTCAGATCATGCAAGTATTGAAAAATCTCTCAGACGGCATAACTAGATTCTGTAGGTGAGCGACAAAATTAGGGGAAAAGAAAACTTGTTTTCCTCCCTTCCCTCCTAGTCTTTTCCTCCGACCGGAAAAGTTGTCTGGTGAGTGATTTCTATGTTTGACAAGTGGAGTTGCCAGGTGGTGGAGAAATTGTTTCCCCCTTAAAATCGGTATTCGGAAATTCATTTGTTTTCTCTTTCATTCATTGCAGATTGACTTACCGCGGATATACCTCGTCATTAACATGTTTCAGACATGTTTAGATGGTGGAAAGACTATCAAAACACGTACCTCGGTTTGTGACGTTGCAAATCTCCTGTCACATTTTCTTTCCTAAAGAAGGGTCTGTATTCATGGTTGGCGTATGAAATTTAGTTTGATTTTTTAAATTGTTCTCTCGACAAC